CCATAACTACGTGTGCTACAGGCGGCTCTGGGCTCTTGGACTATTTATAAATCTGTGTAAAATTGAGTATAGTAACTCAAATCGTTTTTGAGCAATTGAGCCTCAAAGTTTACTTTTAGTGTGAATTTTGTCGAAAACTTCAAACTCTATTTGCTAAAAAACTATAAACCTAGGAATATTGTAAATTACAGGCTATTTAGAGATTGATAAGAGCTACAAATGCTGAAAATTTCACTTCAATTTGCCTAATAGTTACCGAACGATTGAAGTTTGAAGTCTTTGGAATTAAAATTCAAAGGGATACCATACCCTCAAGAAAAACTTTTTTTTTTTTTTAAATTTTCAGTTTTGCTCAATTTTGACTCTACCAATCGATAGAGTGGGTCAAAATTAGTGAAAAACAACCCTGACATCATTTTTAAATTCTAGAAAGCGTCATGAGCAGTTGTCCATATCTTAAATAAATTTAAAAAAAATTGGAACAAATTACATAACATGGGAAGGAGCATTAAATTCTCTATAAATAAAGGAACGGGCTTAAATATATAGTATTTTTAATACCCATTTAGAATAACCCCATCCTCATTCATCAATCACGAATCAGATGAAACAAAAAATTACCAACAAAAACGAACGTTGATTACTAATACGTCAATTTTATGTACAAATAGGAAATTCCTAACCTAATTTTATTTCTGTGTTCTAGAAGCGACATACGTTTAGTCACTAGAACGACTGGTACTTCTAAATAGGTATTAAAACTTGTATAATCAAATAGTCTGTGCTAATTCAAGATTCGAAAATATTTGTCATATTTTGATATAAAAATGTGCAATAATTATTATTTAAAGAAAATCAAGATACTTTATTATAAGTAAGTACTCAAAATACTTCAAGCAAATATCTGACATGAACAAGTAAAAATCCAAGTATTTTAGAATAGATATTGGAAGTGCAAGTACAAGTATGTACATAAAAAAAAGTAATTCAAGTAAAATACTTATGGCCAGAGCTTATGGCCGTTTCCACCAACTATTTTAGGGAAGCCTTAACGAGTATTCCTTAAACTGACATTTCTCCATGGAAAACTGTCATTTTAAGGAATACTTATCATTGGCTTTCCTAAAATAGGTAGATGGTGAAAAACGGCAATTAAAGTACCTATAATAATATGTACTTGAAGTAGTAGAATTTCAAGTAATTTACTTCAAATATTGACCGCTCCATTATAATACAGAAAAAGTTATGATTTTTCGAAGTTTTCAAAAATTAAAGTCCAAAGGGGGTCTTAAAATTCAAATTTCGATTATTCCTGGCTTTTGATTGGCTTGAACACCCTTTTTTCTTAATTTATTTTCAAGGGGCTTGTTGGGAGAGGGATTTTTACCCCATTTTTGTTGTATTTTCCTCGTATTTGTTATTTTATTCAAATAGTAACCCAATCCAAGAGCTGGGAATAAATTTAATTTGAATTACATACAAATTGAATATAAGTTTGGATTGGATTGAATAATGCGATTTTATCTCAGGAACTATAAGTCCAAATGAGCTGAAATTTTCAGGGTTTTTAAACCTCTACTCTCTACTAGGATAAGATTCACTGAAAATTTCAGATCTCTATCCATCATAGAAACAGTTTTTCAGTTTTATAAAAAAAAAAAAAAAAATCTTTCCAGATCCAGAATAGTTCAACAAAACCGGAAAGGTACTCAAAACTGTTCTAGAACAATAATTGCATGAACTCAAAAAAATCTACCGATTTGAATAGTTTCGAATCGTCTCTGAACTGTTTTGCATTCAATCCAAACCACAAATCGCTCCAGAACAGTTCGACCAAACCAGGGTTGCCAGATCTTTGAAATGAAAAAGCGGGACTGATGTTATCCAGAGGGAAAATTTATTTTTGGGTTCCACGCCCAAAAGCATAAGGGGGGGGGGGAGGGGCAAGTGCCCAATGTGTCCCCCTCCTATGGATCCCCTTGAGCAAAAGCGCAACAAATTTTTTGGAGCCACGCCTAAATTTTGTTAAGAATTCAACTAGATAACAAAATAAACGCTTCACGACAAAACAACAGAAAACATCATTATTTATACCCTATAAATAAACGCTATGACCATGTTATGGTTTTTGCTGTGCTGTTAAACTAAAACTAATGTAATGTTTTTTCCTTTTAATGTTTTTTCACAAGGGTTCCTACTTCGTTTAATAGATGGCGCTTGAAAACGTGGATACATACAGTGACTCTATTAGAGCCAAATTATGGACCTACTGGAAACGTATCTGGCAAATTAACCCTGCTGGTAAAACTAAAAATTAAATGTAATTTTTAGCTTTACCAGCAGAATATAGGTGCCAATTACGTTACCAGTCGGTCCATAATTTGGCCCTTACCTACAGTGGCGACATTTGCTGTCTTATTTTTGATTGGTTCTAAAATCCCATATATTTATATTGAAAACGCCGCCATCTTGTTCCCAACCTCTTGTTACTTTTAAATATGAATAAATAGGATTTAGGGAACATCCATCATAAATCATGAAAAACAACGTATTTGATGGACCTAATAATGGTCATCAAATACGTCGATTCCAATTTTTTATAATAGATGCCCATTTAAATCCTATTTATTAATATTTAAAAGTAACAAGAGGTTGGGAACAAGATGGCGGCGGGACCTCTATTGTCGCCACTGTATGTAAAGGTTTATTTAGCCACTGTATGGATACAGTACACTTGGCCAATCATAAAACTGGTAGGTACGCATTTTCCTATTGTGTCGTTTTGTGTAAATCGACCTTCTTTATCACCTCAACAATGACAAAAAGAGTCAAGTCAGTGTCATATTTAAACCAATCATAACATGAAAACATATTGCATTTTCTTTTGTTCAACTTTGACGTTGACAAAAACTGTCTGATCTACGTTTTTCAGAACAGACTTTTTGTTGTTAAGCCTGACTCACACTAGGAAAATTTAAGAAATATGTATTGCCTGTACCAGTTTTATGTTTGGTCAAGTGTACGTGGATGAATCAAGACGCCTATAAAAAGTTTTGGAAGAATGTTTTTAACAACACGTAAAATCCTAATCATTCACTTCCGTCACTAGATATTTTATGACTAGTGACGTTTTCGGCTAAGGTGAAATATGACGAAAGTTGTTTATTTTTCAATGGCCAGAAATAGTTATTTATGTATCAAGGGAATTATGCAGGTGTTAATACCCCAGGGCAACGTTTGTGTCCCAAGGGCCTCCGGCCCGAGGGACACCAATTGCCCGTGGGTATTAACTCCTGATAATTCCCGTGGTACATAGATAATTTTATATCCTACTGAATTTACTGTATTCTGTCTATTTTTATAAAGGAATAAGCCATAAATCAAAATTTCTATTTTTTGTCAAAGTGTTACCTCTACAACATACAACATTTTTTATTAAAACCCAAGAATCGTAAACTAACAGGATTGCTCATCCTGAGAAGGCGTACGTTCGCCGGTTCTCGAGTCCACAAGGTCAGCGAGTGACGTCACCACGTCAGCCGCTAATAGTGGTGACGTCAACCGCAGACCTCGATGAAATTCTTGCGATTCAGGCTCGTTATTTGATTTTTGCGTCGATTTTAAATGAAGAAATAGCTATTTATGTAACAAGTTGTAAAATGAGCGTGTTTTTTGCACTAAATGTGAAGATTGGGTGGAAAAAGCGGGAAAACTGGGACAATTCACGTGAAAAGCGGGACCTGAAATTAAAAAAAAAAAGGCGGGACTGATTAACAAAATGCGGGACTGTCCCGCCTAAGGTGGGACGTCTGGCAACCCTGGACCAAACCCGAACGCGCATACTCCGAACAGTTCTAGAACACCAACCAACAAAAAAAATATGTTACACCAATTTTTTTAAAATAAAGTACCATCGTCACCAAAAGTATCTGGGACAAAAATAATTCATATTAATCTCCTGGACTAATTCAACCGTCATTCATTTGAATGCATTTAATTCATAGTTTGACAAATATTTGACACTAAAATTCATATAATAGTTCAAGAGCTAATATGATGCTGTCCCAGTTACTTTTGGTGACGATGGTACATTATTTTGGTGCTAAAAGTGCTCCAGAGTTCAATTTATTGCATCAATTAGTTTTGCACTCTTTAAAGAAAAAGTTTCAATGTAAATAGATTAACCATTTTTGAAATAAACTACACCATCTCAATAGTTGGTGCGCGACTTTGTAACACCAATTACCATTGCACTCTAAAAGAAAAACATTCAGTGTAAATAGTTCAACATACTCTATAAAAAATGTAAACAGAATGAGAAAAAGAAAACACCTAATTACTCCATCTCTTTGCCACTCCTATCAAAATCCACAAAACTACAAAATAAGGGTTTGTAGGATAAAATCCAGCCTAGGGCTTGAAACTTGTAAAAAATCATTATCCAAAGGAGCAATACTCAATACCAGAACAATTTCCAATATTTCTAAAGGCTAGATTTTGTTGTAAATAAATTCTCACTTACCTCTCAAACAATTACACTTCCAATTGATCCCCTTGATCACAATCATAGTCTTGATGTCGGTACCTTCCGTAAAACACATACTCGAATTGAAATCCAAAAAAAAGCCTCTTGAAGTCACCCGCTTCAAAATAACTGTATCTTTACTAGTATAATAACCAACCCTTTGAGGCCTTTCAGAGACTTTGACTTTAGGAAAAAAAGAGATTTTGTTAAGGGTTTCTTTTGCTTCGGATTTAAATAGTAGGAAATATGAAGCTATTAGGCATAGTTGGCCTACTATAAGGGACAGTAGGGCTAATTTGCTGCGACTAGGGCGGTAAAAGTACATTTTTAATCAGGGAATTTATGCCATTTTAGCAAAATAGTTTTATTTACTTGTTTGTTTGGGTGTGGTAGTAATCACATCACATAACCTCACAAAAATAAATCGTTGTAGCGCTTTCTTTTAGTTTGTTTGTTTTGAACTCGGTGCACTTACCAATTATGTTTGAGCAGGGCCAAAGAAGTCCCGATATAAGGCAGCATGAAGTACAAACTGAACTGGTGAGCCTTCCATAAAGGCCCCGACAATTCGACCAAATTAAATAGGGCTATTGAAATTGCTATTACTACACTTTGGCCAGCTTCTAGCCCGTTTACACCAGCTAAAAATAATCGTTTTGGTATTAAATTTTTGGTTTAAAAATTGCTCTTACCCAAAATATTAATAGCATTTGTACAAAACACAGCCAGCATTCCCATGTAAACGTAATAAATTAGGCCAATATCTATGCTAAGGCCTAAATAGTCTTGTAAAGGCTTTGGTACTATTATATTGGTTGTATTGAAGCTTACATAGTAAACCATTAAAAGGGGCAGTGAGGCTATTGTAGGCAACAGTAATTTTTGCCTCCAGGGAACATCCAAAACATCATCTGCAAATCCCAATAGCAGCATACAGCAAATTGACAAGAGGGCCAAAATGTATTTAACATACTAAAATATAATTATTATGTAAAGTGTAATTTTAGGCCCTTTTAGCTTGTTTACCTCATCATAAGGAAATGTCCCTTTTTCTAATAAGTTATTACCAAAAGCCACTGGTATAAACAAAACCATAGTCACTAGGAAAATGAACCCGGATACTACCCCTAAAGACTCGGGGCTGCAAAATAATTAAAAATTTAACAAAAATCGCCCCTTTTTAATCAAATCTAACCTCACACTTTGTCGCTGGTCGTTTTGCTCATGTCGATTCCGAACAAGTTGGCCTTTATGAATTTTTCTTTAAGTTTCGGGATGACTCTAAGGGTCACCAAGTAGGCTATAAGGGCCATAATTATGTTGACTACCAAGGGAAATAGCATTTTTTCTGCTGGGTTTGTTGTTATCTTTGAATCAACAACATCCACGTCTACCGCCATTTCGGTTTTTAAAAAAATTTTGACAGTTGACTGCATGATCTCAGAATGAATAGGCGCTTTCTTTTGAATCAAATCAGAGACAACCTGGAATTTGCTTTGAATTAAAATAATCGGTTCCAGAGCAGGCTCTATCGGTTCTAGGGATAAATTCATTCAGAGTATTATATTCTTGTTCCGAAATGATTCGGGGTTCAATAAATTCCTGAGCTGTTTTCTCGCGGTGGAACTGGTTTGATCCGGTTCAAATAGGTCCAAACCTGTACATTCTTGTGTTGAGCCAGTGACGTCACATTGAACCTGGTTGAAAAAAGTTGGAACCGGACTCATGGCTTGTTCTCCGTTGACATAAGACTATGGTTCAAACTCCCGCATTTTCTCGCGTTCACAAAAGATGACGTCATCTATAAATTAGCTTAAACCGTAGTTCAAACCATTCGCTCCGCGAGAAAACGCCTCTGAACTGGTTCATAATTAAACATGTGAAAACTCTAAATTAGCCCCGAACGATTCGAAACCAGTTCTTTGTTCCAGATTCAACTAGAATCAGTTCCGAACCAGTTTGCAACTGATTCAGGATTACGAATTTGGAATCAGTTTAAAACGAAGAAAAAATATTCTATTCCACAGGGAACATTTCCGGAACAATAGATTTAAAACTTGGAACTTTCTCTTGCACTTAGAGAACTTACTCTGAACTTTATAATGTTCCCGGATCACTAAATTCCGAATTTTGAGTTACAGTTCTTTGTTTGCGGTTCCGGATCCACTCTATTTCTATTGGTTCTAAGGATTTTACATGTAACGTTCTGAACTAATTCCGAACAGATTCGGAATGTGATTCGCAAAGAAATTAGTTTCGTTTGCGATAAAAGTTGTATTCCTTTCACCCCTAGGAGGAGCTCCGGAATAGCTCCGGGGCGTTACGCGCTTATTCCTTTCGAAAAGTGAAAGTTGCACCACGCATCTATTCCTTTCAAATTGGGGGCAACTAACACCGGAGCGAGTAGCTCGAGTGTTCAAAACTCTTAAAACGAATACAACTTTTGATTCAAAACTAATTCGGAGCAAACTCTTTGTTCTAGATTCAAATAGAATCAGATCCAGATCGACTCCGAACCAGTTTGCAACTAATTTAGGATTACGAATTTGGAATCAGTTTAGGGAAAGAAAAAGGTTTCTTTTTCACCTTGAACATTTTCGGAACAAGATATTAAAACTCGAAACTTTCTCTTGCGGTTAGAGAACTTACTCTGAACTTTAAAATGTTCTCGGATCACTAAATTCTGAATTTTTAGGCACAGTTATTTGTTCGCGGTTTCGGATTTACTCTAGTTCTGTCGGTTCTAGGGATTATAGAAGAAGCGCTCTGAATTAGTTCTGAACAGATTCGGAATGTGATCCGCAAAAAAGTTAGCTTCGTTCGCAATATAGACTTAGAACTAATTCGGAACCAGTTCATTGTTCAAGATTCAACTAGAATCAGTTCCAAATCGACTCCGAACCAGTTTGTAACTGATTCAGGATTACGAATTTGTAATCAGTTCAGGAAAAAAAAATAAATATATATATTTTAACGAGAACATTTTCGGAACAAGAAATGTATAACTTAGAACTTTCTCTTGCACTTAGAGAACTTACTCTGAACTTAATAATGTTCCCGGAACACTATATTCCGAGTTTTGAGTTACAGTTCTTTGTTTCCAGTTCCGGATCTTCTCTAGTTCTATCAGTTTTAGCTTAGAGCAGCTAATTTCCTAGGTGGGAGGAGTAGGAACATGAAGTTGGAATTTGAAGCCCTTTTTTTCAGGTATTTTGATATCCAAAATAATGACGGTATAGGTAATTCAATGCTTTACCTGTCATTTGGTGTACAAATACCTGCCAGAAACTGGCTTCACTTTAGTTTCATAGCAGAATGACGCACTCCTACTCCTTATGTCCGTAGGACAGCGCTTTACCTGCTCTGAGAGTTTTAGGGATTCTAGATGTAGCGCTCTGAATTAGTTCCGAACAGATTCGGAACGTGATCCGCAAAAAAATTAGTTTCGTTCGCGAGGAAGATTCAGCACTGATTCGGAACCAGTTCTTTATTCGAGATTCAAATAGAATCAGTTCCGGATCGACTCCGAACCAGTTGGGAACCGATTTAGGATTATGAATTTGGATTTAATTCAGAAAAAAAAAAGATTTTATTTCACCGAGAACATTTTCGGAACAAGAAATTTAAAACTTGGAACTTTCTCTTGCGCTTAGAGAACTTACTCTAAGCCGCTTTCGGGTGCAGAGTGCGAAGCTCCTACTTCACACCTGTCATACTCCATGCATTTTGCACTCGAACGCTTGAAACCGACGGTTAAACTGTAGCCGGAGTACTTGGGAGTAACTCGGGAACGCTCAAAAGGTGGCACCCGAAAGCAGCTCTGAACTTTATAATGTTCTTGGATCACTAAATTCCGAAATAAGTTACAGTTCTTGGTTCGCGGTTCCCGATATACTCTAAACTATAGTTCTATCGGTGGTAGCGATTTTTAGATGTTACGCTCTGAATTAGTTCCGAACAGATTCGGAATGTGATCCGCAAAAAAATTAGTTTCGTTCGCGATAAAGATTCAGATCTGATCAGGAACCAGCTCTTTGTTCGAGATTAAAATAAAAGCAGCTCCAGATCGACTCCGAACCAATTTGCAACTGATTTAGGATCGAACTTGAAATCAGTTTGGGAAAAGAAAAAGGATTCTATTTCACCGGGAACATTTTCTGAACAAGAAATTTAAAACTTGGAACTTTCTCTTGTGCTCAGAGAACTTACTCTGAACTTTAAATTGTTCTCGAATCATTAAATTACGAATTTTGAGTTACAGTTCTTTGTTCCTGGTTCCGGATCTAGTCTAGTTTTATCGGTTCTAAGAATATTGGATGGAGCGCTCTGAACTAGTTCCGAACAGATTCGGAATGTGATCCGTAAAAAAATTAGTTTCGTTCGCAATAAGATTCAGAACTGATTCGGAACTAAGTCTTTGTTAGAGATTTAAATAGAATCAGTTCCGTGTTGACTCCGAACCAGTTTGCAACTGATTTAGGATTACGAATTTGGAGTTCAGGAAAAGAAAAAGGATTCTATTTCACCAGGAACATATTCGGAACAATAAATTTAAAACATGAAACTTTCTTTGTCGCTAGAATTTAGAACTTACTCTAACCTTTATAATGTTTTCGGATCACTAATTTCCGAAATGTTACAGTGCTTTGGATTATGAATTTGGAATCAGTTCAGGAAAAGAAAAATAGGATTCCATTTCACATTTCACCGGAAAATTTTTATAAATCATATGCCTGTCAAAATTTCGGAACAAAATGAGAAAGATGACAAAAACGAACACGGCAAATGTTCGCAGATCACTAAATTTCGAGTGTTCAATTACAGTTCTTTGTTTGAGGTTTCGGATCCACACTAGTTCTATCGGTTCTAGGGATTTTGGATGTGAAAAGATTCGTAATAAGCATTCAGTTTTTTGTTCGCGGTTCAACTAAATCGGTTCCAGAACAAGTTCCGATTCTAGAAATTTCACAATAATTTATTGTAAGATGATAAAGAGGTTCAGAGTATTCCTGTTGCGGAATTGTCCGCATTAATATAATTAGTTCATAATAGCTGGGTTCGGCTATTCAGCGCGGAGTTGGAGTGGAGTGAATAGAGCTAATGGAGTCACCCCTAATACAGTAAAAAGCAATACCCGTACCTTAACCCGAACGGCTGGAGTGCGAATCGAGTCACTCGGAGTGCACGGAGTGGAACTATTCTGTTCTTTGTTCTGATTCGCAGCTATTCAGTTTTTTATTCGCGGTTCAATTAGAATCGGTTCCAGAACAAGTTTCGATTCTAGGACTTTCACAAAATTCATGTAGGATGGTAAAGATGAGTTTAGAGTATTCCAGTTCCGGCATTGTTCGTAACATAATTAGTTCATAATAAACTCAATTGGTTCCGAACAAATGATCCTCGTACAAAACACGGTAAGCATTCAAAACTATTCTGTTCTTTATTCTCGGTTCCGGATCAAGTTCAACTGATTCTAAAGATGTATTTATTGTATTCGATTTTTATTCCGAAATGGTGCATGGTTCAATAAAATCCTGAACTTATTCGTAACTATTTAGTTTTTTGTTCGGGGTTCAACTACATAAAATCGGTTCCAGAACAAATTCTGATTCTAGGAATTTTTCCTGTTCCGACATTGTTTGCGTTAAATAATTAGTTCATAATAAACTCAATTAGTTCCGAACTAGTGATCCGCGAACAAAACACAGTAAGGATCCAGAACTATTCTGTTTTTGTTCTCAGTTCCAAAACGAGTTCTAGCGATTCCAAAGATATATTATCCTGAACTGGTTCATAATTAGACATGGAACAACTCTAATTAGTTCCAAACTAGTATCGGAATGTGAACTGATTCGGAATTATTCAGCTTATTGTTTGAGGTTCAACTAAAATCGATTTCAGAACAAGTTCAGATTCACTTTTACAATAATTTATGTAGGATGATAAAGAATTCAGAGTATTCCTGTTTCGGAATTGTTTGCGATACCATAATTAGTTCATAATAAACTCAATTAGTTCCGAACTAATGATTCGCGAACAAAACTCAGTAAGGATTCAGAACTATTATGTTCTTTGTTCTCGGTTCCGGAACAAGTTTTACCGATTCAAAAGATAATGCTGAGTTTAGACTGAGTATTCGATTTTTGTTCTGAAATGGTTCGCAGTTAAATAAAATCCTAAACTGGTTCATTATTAGCCATATGACAACTCTGAATTAGTTCCGAACCAGTTTCGAAATGTGAACTGATTCGCAATAATTCAGTCTTTTGTTCGCGATTCAACTAGAATTCGTTCCAGAACAAGTTCAGATTCTAGAAATTTGACAATAATTCATGTAGGATGATGAAGCGTTCAGAGTATTCTTGTTCTGGAATTGTTCGCGTT